AAACACATGACGTCATTATGTTGAGGGCTGTGGCTGACGTTTTTAACATAATATTGTAGGCCTACATTTGTCGCCGAAAACTGCCATTTAAAATGCATCGGAACAAAGCATGAACATTTTAAACTTTATTTCTTCTCTTTTAATCATTCAAAACAAACAACAGCTCCCAATCAACAGGATCAGGAATACTTGAATAAAACATGGCCTAAATATAGCCTAAACTGAGCATTGAACGTCTTGAAAGTCCATTCGACTACGGATATGGGGAATGATTTCATATCTGAAACAAAAAACACACACACACACACAAAAAAAAAAAATTAACTAATTTCATATTTTATCACTAAATAGCTTAATACAGACATAAAATTTAGTGATATGCAGCCTTATTCTAGCGTAGACTTCTTCAGCCACAGGACTAAGATGAATAGGCACATAAATAATGCTAAATGCGGCAGTATAGGGGAATTAAAACCATTTCTTACCTCGAAATAGTCAGAAATACGTTTTTGCTGCCTATTGCTAGCCATGCCTAAACGAATGTGAGGTGGCGGAAGTTTCTGGGGGAGTAGCCTAGTTTTTTATGAAATATTAAAATAATGAATCATTAGTTTATATCTTATACACAGCCCATCATTTTAATCCCATATCAAACATAGTCTTTTAAAAAATAAATACATAAATAATTTCATGTTTTTAAGTACAATATTATGTTACTCCACAGCCCCCCACCATGGGGGGCTGATGCTATGACGAGGGAGGCTGCAGCCCCCGCAGCACCCCCCTTCCCGTGCCACTGTTAAAATCTGTGTTCTAGGAATATACCCAGTGGAATTTATACAATCACAGACAAAAACCAAATTGATAGATTATGGACTTCTTCAAGCCAGAAGATCTATTGCATTATACTGGAGGAGCATGGACGCCCCCTCCCTGGGACTCTGGAAAAAAGAAATTGCAAATTCACTCGGACTGGAAAGATTAACATATATCGCCAAGGGTAAACAACAAGACTTTGAGAACCTCTGGGAGCCATATATGAGGATTATAGAGACTGAAGGCGGAGCTTATTAAATGGATGACTTGAATACAGTTTTTATTTCCATATTATCTTATTACTTTTTCTGTATCATAATCTAAAGAGTTTTGTATTTTTGAACAAATGCAGGTTTGAATTATGAGTGCGTGAGTGAATGCTAGTATGCAGAGGTTCATGTCTGCAATGTTAAGTTTGTTTGTAAGTTTATTGTACATTAAAAGAGAAAAATTCAATAAAATATATTGGAAAAAAAAAATACTGAGCAGAATTAAGCTCATGTTATTGTTGGTTCGGCCCTCCAACACAAGTCAGTTTTCCTGTGTGTTAAAAATTAATTGCTCACCCCTGGTCTAGTCCATGTGCACGTAGTGATGGTCATGATGCTCCCACCGCCGGGCCCCCACAGGAGCTGGGCGGTGAGCTGTGGCTCCCGGCCGCACCGCTGTTCTTGTCCGCCTGCTTCTTGTCCTTCTGTTTCAGGTGAACCTTTGCGTGTGTCTTTCGCTCGTCACTCCTGGCAAACTTGCGTCCACAAAACTCGCAGGAGAAGGGTTTCTCACCCGTGTGCGTGCGGATGTGTGTGTTCAAATGGTCGCTCCGGCTGAAGGACCTCATGCATATTCTGCACTGGAAGGGCTTGTGACCTGTGTGGATGCGGAGGTGACGAGTGAGTTCGTCTGAGCGCGAGAAGCGTCTGTCACAGTTCTCAGCAGGACAGGCGTGCGGCCGTTCATGAACGGGGGTTTTGCTGGGACGGTTGGGGTACTTCCTGGGGCGAATGGGTTTAAGGGGGAGAGTCTGAGGTGGCGGGTGGTGCTGAGGCGGGTGCTGTTGCCCGCCAATGAAACCTGGGTGGATCTGCTGCTTCTCTTTAAATGCTTTGATGGTCTCTAGGGGTATGATGGGTGGAGGGTTGACTCTGATAGGGTCCATGGTCTGGAAGGGCTTGTGCTCCATGACACCAACCTCTCCTTGGTGATGGAAAAGGTTGTAGTCTGGGATCATAGAAAAAAATTAAAGATTAATAGGTTAATCATTTTAATGCACTAAAATTAGTATAATACTAAAGATTATACATATGAAATAACAGATCATTTTTGTTTTGGGGAGCAGAAAGGCAATTCAGGTTTTTTTCCACCTGGGAACCAAAAGACCTCGCATAGGAACGTGAGGCTCTCTCTAAGGGTGAGAGGAAGGTTGTAGGTGCCACCAGAAGGCATTTAATTTTACTGAGACGTCGGTAATCTAGAGTGGGATCCCCCCCACTCATGAGAAGTTAGAGGCTAAAAAGAAGGTAAGGTAAGAAATTTACAGATTTTGGGGGGAAAAAAGACAAAAAAAAATGGAAAAAGAAAAAAGAGAAGAAAACTGTTTAAAATGATGGATGGTTAAAAGGAGAGTTCAAAGAAACTCTCAGCTTCAAAAAGAAATGGGTTAAAATAAGAAGTCAAAAAAGACAGTGTTTAAACCTTATACTAAACATATTTACACTGTATTACATATTAAACTTACACTATACCATCTATTATAATCATTTAACATTGTCCACCGACTTAATGCAGTTGTGGATTTTTGATTTATTATTTTTTAATTATTATTTTTCTTAATTTTTTTTAATATAGTTTTGTAGTTTTTAGCTTTCTTTACATATACTCACAAGTTTAGTTTCTTAGTTTTTTATATTCATAAATTTTCCTTTTTTTATGATATCGATTACACAAGGATAATATCCTTTTATAATCGAAAGGGTGGACTGTTGTGGGAAAATTTCTTTCTTTCTCTCATTATATATTAATATTCATATTTACTCACTATAAAAGTTTTCACTCAGTCTGTTTCTCTCTCAAGGCCACACCATTGTCACCAAATTGTCTTGTTCCATTGGCAAAATGTCTCTTTTACCTCCTCAATCCGAGAACATATGCACTTATTAAGAAAAATGACTTCATTTTTTCCAATGTAAGACATTTAAATGACTCTGGCAACTGTTTAAAAGAAGCTTTGCTGTTGCCCTCTAGAAGTTTTGGAAGTATTACTCAAAAACATGCAGCTCTGCATTTTCCCCTCTCCTTTGCCAACAGTAAATCTTTGTAGAAAGGATTTTTTTTCTTACCTTTCCAGGTCCTTTGTGAGGATAACTCAGGAACAATTAAGTTGTTGCAGTGAACCACTAAAATTTCTGTTTACAAAACCGTTGTCATGGCGACCAGTTGTTCCAACCTGAAAATATGACTTTTGATAATGTGGCAGTTATCAAAGCTGAGATTCCAGGTAACAGACAATCAGTAACAAGAAGACTGATGTGAAAGAAAGGGATCTGGGTTCAGGTGTGTTGGCCTACAGGTAAAATATTGGGAGGAAAACTAACAGCACAAATAAAATAATAATTAGAACTCCTTTTAGGGAATTGTCCTTTATTTTGTTAATTATGATTAAATATATATTTATATAGCAAAAATATTTTTGCTTTTCTTTGGTCTAAACTACTGATTTCTTGTAGAACTGAAAAGCTGTTTCAGTGATTAATGGGATATTTATGGATTACAGGGTCGAATAATGCAGTTTGTATCTTTTGTCAAACATGTTTCTGGATGTGTTTGGCTTTCTTAAGTTTTTTTTGCTGATACATATCTGCCTACTCTATATCCATTTTTCTGTTCACTGAGTGACATAACGTGAGTTCAGTTTGTAAAATCAGGCCACAAATACATCTTGGTAATATGGATGGAATGAAACCTAAAGTCTCAGATGGAGCTTTAGAAATATTTGAGCTTCTTTGACAAACGTCTGCTCCCAGTGTGGATATCAATCAGACAGCAATCGCCGACAGCAATCGGCTTTTAAATTGGAGGTGTGGGTGGAGGTATAGTGGGGGCTTCAAATGAACCCTCATGCGTCTGCTCCTTCATGCAGAGGCTTTGGGGGATTCCCACAGTTTTATCGTGTCAATCTAAACTAAAGGTTTCAGCCTTTAAATGGTCAGGGAGTTTATATAAATATAGAGTTTAAAGAAACTCCACTGTGTTTATCCTGGATTTATAAAGAGCTTCTAATGGCAGCCAGAGGCGTAGCTAGAACATTTTAAAAAGGGTGGCCAGGCAATAACCAAGAGGATAGGCACCAGAACCTCAGGGTCAATGTGTTCCAACAGGTAAATAAACAGGGGCGCTGGAAGCTGTTTCAAGCGAGGGGGGCTGATGGCTGGGTTGGAAAACATGTGATGTCATTATGTTGAGGGCTGTGGCTGACGTTTTTAACATAATATTGTAGGCCTACATTTGTCGCCAAAAACTGCCATTTAAAATGCATCGGAACAAAGCATGAACATTTTAAACTTTATTTCTTCTCTTTTAATCATTCAAAACAAACAACAGCTCCCAATCAACAGGATCAGGAATACTTGAATGAAACATGGCCTAAATATCGCCTAAACTGAGCATTGAACGTCTTGAAAGTCCATTCGACTACGGATATGGGGAATGATTTCATATCTGAAACAAAAAACACACACACACAAAAAAACTAATTTCATATTTTATCATTAAATAGCTTAATAGAGACATAATATTTAGTGATATGCAGCCTTATTCTAGCGTAGACTTCTTCAGCCACAGGACTAAGATGAATAGGCACAGCATATAGAAATAAATAAGAAATAAATAACGCTAAATAAATGCTCGGCGGCAGTATAGAGGAATTAAAACCATTTCTTACCTCGAAATAGTCAGAAATACGTTTCTGCTGCCTGTTGCTAGCCATGCCTAAACGAATGTGAGGTGGCGGAAGCTTCCGGGGGAGTAGCCTAGTTTTTTATGAAATATTAAAATAATGAATCATTAGTTTATATCTTATACACAGCCCATCATTATAATCCCATATCAAACACCGTCTCTTAAAAAATTAATACATAAATAATTTCATGTTTTTAAGTACAATATTATGTTACTCCACAGCCCCCCACCATGGGGGGCTGATACTATGACGAGGGAGGCTGCAGCCCCCGCAGCACCCCCCTTCCCGTGCCACTGTAAATAAAGGAGCAAAACATCCCTATTTTCTAAATAAAGACAAACTAACAAATAGATGCATATATTTAAACATCCATGCTGTCTAAATTAAAGGTGTAGCGGATAAAATTATTTCAGTTTTGAGTTCTGGGGCGAACATCTTATTCATTGTCATTACTTACCTACTTTTATTAATAAAATTAATATTTGCATGTACTAATATCTACATTCAATGGATTACTTATTATTAAAGTAGTTATTTATCTCTGATTTCAGTGAAGATTTCTAGATGACTTGCAGAGACATAATTTTCTCTTTACCCCATATAACACAAAATCTAGTTCTGAAGAAAGCACAAATTCTGTATTTATCTTTATTGTTAGTATATTGATGTGCATAATTAACCACAGTGTTTTTGTTGTCAGGTAATTGATTACATATAGAAAATTAAAATGTTAAAATAAGTTAGAATCCTCCACTTGAGAGTATTACTGCTGCCACCATCTGTATTAGAGGGGGAAAACGGTAGGGGTGGTCACAGGAGTAGCCAACGATTGGCTAAGGGGGGCCATGGCCCCAAAATTGTTACATTTAGTGAAAATTATAGCCTAAAATCAAATAAAATCAGAAAAGTGTGTCCTGTGCTTGTATTCAGTTATATAAAGTAATATTGCTACATTATTGTTGAAAGCAAGGAAACAGACTTTTGAATCAATATTTCGAGAAAAAACATGGGGATAGGCACCAGAACCTCAGGGTCAATGTGTTCCAACAGGTAAATAAAGGAGCAAAACATCCCTATTTTCTAAATAAAGACAAACTAACAAATAGATGCATATATTTAAACATCCATGCTGTCTAAATTAAAGGTGTAGCGGAAAAAATTATTTCAGTTTTGAGTTCTGGGGCGAACATCTTATTCATTGTCATTACTTACCTACTTTTATTAATAAAATTAATATTTGCATGTACTAATATCTACATTCAATGGATTACTTATTATTAAAGTAGTTATTTATCTCTGATTTCAGTGAAGATTTCTAGATGACTTGCAGATGTTGGGATCTGGAGTAGTTCCACCTTTCTCCAGCAGAGTCCGCCATGGATCCTCCTGAGCTGAGCCTTCGACACACCTGAGGCGCATCTCATCATTAGAGGACCCACAGTATATAACCTGCCTTCAGACCTTGCCTCAACGCCGCAGTGTTAAATCCAGTTTGGTTAGCACCTGAGCCTAGCATCTTCTGAGAACCTTTGTTGCTCTTGAGTCCTGATAGGATTCTAATCCTTTGTCTCTGCTTTCAGGAATCCAGTTTTTCCCTTGTGAGCTCTGGATGAGCTTAACCTGCCGAGCCTGCCCTCTGAGCCAAACCTGAAGACTCTTCTCTGGATACCCATGCAGCTCTGGACTAAGAGCTGGAAACCCAAAGCCAAGGTCTGCCCTCACGTTAGAAGTAAGATGCTGAAGCGGTTATTGGACTCTGCTGAACTAAACAGTCTCTGGACCCAACAGTTCCTCTCTCAAAGCCAAACCCGGACTTCTCAAGGTATAAACCTGAAACACTCAAACTCAACTGCTTCCAAGCTAACTGAACTGTCATCCACACAGACTCCAGTGAACCAGCCCCCAGGCCTGAACCAGTTCCTGTGTTTATTTCATGTGCTTGTGATCAATAAAACTTGTTAAACTTTTCATCCGTTTCCGTGGTGTTCTGCATACTGGGCTTTTCTGAAACCCATCATGACAGAACACTGCGGCCAAACACTAGGCCCAGCAGATCACCTCCGTCGTCGGTTGGAGGAGCAAGATGCTCAAATCCAGGGACAAACTCAAACCCTCCGTGAGTTACATTGCATGGTCAATTATCATAATCAAATGCTTCAGAGTTATGCTAACTGCATGAGCAGTGCTAATGCCACGCCGGCAGCACAACCATTTCCGGGTCCAGTTCTGCCTCCGAGGTCACCGGCGGTGACGTCATCACCTGAGTTCCGCCCAAG